AGGTGCACTATGTGCCCCAAGACGACTTCCATGTGACGGAAGGGGGTTCGTTGGGTGAGGGGCAGAACAGGAGAGGTGGATGGGATGGAAGGAAAGAAGGAAGCATGAAAGGAAGGTACCTCTACGTCCCGTCGTACCTTTCTGCTGGCTGCGGCTCTGGACTGATCCGGAAGCTACGAAGTTTTAGGAGCTTCTTCGATCTCGTCATCTGGTCTTTGCTCTTGCCGGTTCTTCCAGCCGCCATCCTCAGTTAGGTTCTCTTCCTTTGGCTGATTTGTTCTCTCTCTTCATGGGTTGTAAGCCACCAGCGGTGAGTGACGGGGGAAATTGAGACAAGAACGGAATCAATATCAAGCATCTGCTATGGGATTCTGGACCCTGCCGTGCCTGCCAAGGTCGGGGTTCGCTTTACTGAGTTCGTGCAGCTTTGTTAGCGATCGTATAGTGGGGCTACAGTGGGGCTACGCCAAAACGTCCAACGTCACTTGCAGCTCCCCTCTTCGCTGTTGTTGATGGAATTTTGAACCTTTCACGCGTCGATCTGTTTACTTTCAATCCTGTTTACGTCTACGACCCGAGCCCCCATCTCCAAGACACCACTGCGCCAGCATAGCGAGTCATTCCTCTTTTTCAGAAGAAAAGAATCACGAAGATCTTTCCCTCTGGAATCCAAGCGCGACACCGTCTTCTCGCAGTATCCCACAAGCCACTCGTTCAACATGGCCGACGGCAAAGACTCCCTCCGCCTAGCTCCCGATGAGTTCAAGCAGCTCGAGGTTCTGCGAAACCGATTCCACCAGCTCACTCACAGTCTAAACAGTCTGTTTAATGATATCCAGAGAAGCCAGCCTCTCCCTAGCCAGTAAGTCGTCGCTCGCTTACCCCATCCTCTTCTCTCGAGGTCGACCACTTGCTCATATCGATCTGTTCTTCCGCAGAGACTCCCTCACCGCTTCAGCAGCCATCCTTCAAAAGAGTCTCGAAACCATTCAGAAACTCGCCGACGAGAACTCCGAGTTATTTCAGCGCATCGTCGTCCACCCGTCAACAAACTTCCCTGGTCGCACCCAGGAACACATCCTCCTACAACTACTGCGAAAGAAACTTGAGCCGGAAGTCGAGAGCTGGGTCGAAGATGCGCGTAGCGTGGCAAGGGCTTCCGGTCTGGATCCGAGCAAACTGGCCAGCTCCCAACAGAAGACCAACGGCTACGACGAGGACGACGACGACTACCGAGACGAAGAAGAGGACGCACCTTCGGATCCGTTTAACGAACAGTGGGTCGACATGTTCCAGGTCAGCATGGACAGTATCAGGGACTACCTCATGAACCAAGCGAACGAGCCCTACACGATCGCCGAGCGCGAAATGGGTATTGAGAATGTTCGTACCGGTCTGAAGCGATCGCTGGAGGAGGAAGACAGCGAAGAAGAGGAAGACGAGGACGAGGACGAGGATGATGATGAGAACAAGCCGCTTGCAGCTGCTGGGGTCGACAAAGTCAACGCGGCCAACCTGTTCCACCCAGAGCATGTCCTCTGGATGGCTTCGAGGGGCAATATGAAGGTGAAGAATGTTGACCTGGAGGCTATTCGCAAGAGAGAGAAGCCTAGGGGACGTCCAGCTCCCGCGCAATGAGCGAACAAGACATTCTCAAGCCAGCTCCGCGCATGATCCAGGAAACACCAACAGCAATCTCTGCGATTCGCTATCTTCGATGAGCTGGGGGCAACACAGTCAATACCTGGGATACGTCTCAGGGACATGTTTTGGAAGAAGCCTCGGTTGCTGAGCGCACCATTTTTGAGGCTTTTGGACATGGTTCATGAGCTGGTTTTGAGACAGATTTTGCTTCTGCCTTTAAAATCATGGTATGGCCCAGAAGGTGCTATGTTCTTGTCCAGTTGCTTGGTAGCATCCAAGTCCGGAAAGACACCTCCAACATGGTGATGGTGGGTCATGGTGTTGTTGATTGGTAGCAGCCGCCAACTCCCCCGCACCCACTGCAACAGCTCTCGCGCGGGTAGCTGACGATGACAGCGTTCCCTACAGTCTGACTGTGCCATCTGTGACCCGATCACATCCAACAGCGCCGCTTGGTGCAACCCGCCTATCACATGCCGGGAAACGGTCTCATTGAGGACTCTGTTTGGGGCTGCAGAAATAAGCTGGAATTCCCTAAACCGCTTATTGGAGCAATTTGGTTGACACGTTTTGATCAGAGACAGACGACACTTCGAATGAGCTTTGAAAGAGGCCTGAACTCATCCCAACCTGCCGGCTCCGGTTTCATGGCTATCAGGCTGGAGAAACATTCAGAAGAGCCAACCCAGGAGGTTAGCTATAACTGTCAGCCTAGCTTACTTTAGGAAAAGCATTGTGCTCTACGGTGCAATGGATTCATATTGACTTGGGCGTTTTTCAATAGTGTCTGTGCTCGGCCATTTGATCACACAATATGCTTGCTGACTGGAACCCACCTCCATAAAGGCCAGCACCAACAGCACCTAAGATGGTGATGGCATCTGTCATTGCTCTTGGCTTGACAACATGGTGTACCGTGTTAGCCCAACACGCACGCCACCACGGCCAGTTTGGGACTCGAAATTCAGCTCTTTGTGTTGTTTTGGGCAGGCTCGCATGCTGTTTGCGGGCCATGCTGAGCTACCAAAGCCAATGGAAAGCGTGACCAACGCATGTAAGCCAGGTTGGAGCCGTGGTCGTGATGAAGATGTTTGCCAAACTTGACCTAACCGCCGCCCCATCGCAGGTTTGGTTGAAGGTTTCTTGCGCATTTCTTCAGACGATACTTTATTCATCTGTTATAAGTGGTGGTTAGTTAGCTGGAAGTTTGAATTTGCCTTTCCTTGTTTAGTTTTTGAATCACTCTGTGTTCTTTGTTACAGGAAGCCGTCTACAGACTGAGCTTATCACCAATACTTCGAGACTCGACAACGTCCTGCTGAGGAGTCGCAGCGATATCACAGTGAGATGCAATGGCGCCGAGCTGTGAATTTGGTTATACTGGAATGGCTTCATTGCCGACGCTGGGTGTCTCTCCGAAGAGCGGAATCATGACATTTTCCAAGCAGCCCGAGTCCCTGAGGCACACAATCAAGGCTGTCGCCCGAGTGAATGAGGATAGGCGAAGGATCGGCTTCATGGACCTGGCCGTCGAGATCCGGCTACGAATTTATGACTACGTCTACGGCTCACACAGCGTTCGGCATTCCAAGCTGCCACTATGGTATCTGACTCAAGGCAGCGGCCGTCACGTCCTCAAGCCTGTTACGCCAAAAGCCATTACTAGCAAGCCCAGTTCACCACCCTACGAACAACAAACTTCAGACGATAGCAACACCACTAGTCGTCCTCCCACTCGCAAACTCCTATCCGCGCACCGTCCGATGAACTACATCCCAACCGCCCTTCTACTAGCCTGTCGCCAGATCTACTACGAAGCCCGCACCACCCCCTTCCACGAGAACGAATTCGTTTTCTCATCGTGGCACGACGTCGACAGCAGCGTCCAAGCAGCGCGGGACTTTCTTGACGATCGGCTATGTGCAGACTGGCAACGCCAGAGCATGCGATATGTGAGGATCGAGCTGGACCTCTCCTCCTCCTCCTCCTCGGACGACATAAAAAGCAAAAAGAAGGCAAAAGAAGTCTGGGAAGAGCTACTATGTTCCACCGCCTACTGGGGAGCGGGACTCCGCGGAATGAGGTTATGCATCGACTGCAAAGACAAAGATCTGATCAAGGGTTGTTCTTTTGCGGCGGCGCTTGCGCTTGACGCTGACGACGGGGTTGATGAACCAGAAGAAGAGCTGTCATCATCATCTTCCTTCGCTTGGATCTTCCGTGGTCTGGTGAAGCTGAGAAGCCTGAGGAGCTTGGATGTGGAAATCAAAAGGGGACGGTGGTATATGACGAACGACGAGAAGGTTGGGTGGTGTCGGTTGTTGGAGGAGCTACTTAACAACGACAATAACAAAAACAGCAATAACAGCTGTGGTGAAAGAGACGAAGAACGAGGGAATCAAAAGGTTTCGGTCATGTGCGCGCAGACATCGTATGATCCGTTCAATTTGGAGCAGGTGTTTGGTAAGATCTCTTATCCTATGATGGTTTGGCCGTTGTATGCTGGCTTTTGAAAGTGTGGATTTTGTTCAGATCAGATATTCGACGAGAGTCGTTTTTGGCGGTGGCAGTGTGCGTGTTTCGGAGATGAATCCGAGATGGATTGATGGTGCGAGAGAAGAAGACGACATGAAGCGGGAGAAAAGCACCATTGTGTCGACGCGGGAGGTCACCAAGATCGTTTTGCTAACAGGACTGGGCCTGTATTCAGCTGCCTAGAGTTAGCGCTACTAACAATAACAATTTCATTTCCCCTTGCTCAGGCTCAGGGGGATAACACAAAGCTCGCTGACCTCTTCACCCCTGGTTTCCACTGATCAACAATTTGAAAACTTGACAACTCTCAGTCGAAGAAGAGAAAGAACTGAATGACTGGTTACTGCTCGCTACATCCGTAACAGCGAAGTTCCCCCACCGGGTAACCTGCTCTTCCAATGCGATTTTCACGAGCTTCCTTGACGTAGCGGTGGACGCTTGTAAGGCCTAGACCTCAACATAGCTCGGTAGTGTAGTGTAGATGTGCTTAGTGTCCGAAGCCCTGCCTCGAACCGAGAGTTCCCAAAGCAGCATAGGGACCGACCCGTTGTTGGGTTCCTTCCGATCTACACTATTCGGAACGATAGGTGCCTTACCTGTGTACCTCTACCAACTTAGGCAAGACATTCTGGTTTACATTAAATTTCAACAACCCTTGCTCTCTACACTACGCATCAAGTTCTGGGGTAATAAGCTTCGCGCTCACGGGAGCCAAGTCGAACACCAAAAAGCTTGTTCTTTCTGAGAGCAGTCTGGACCGCCATATTACGAGGGGGCTACTTACACTATTGCCCCGCACAGACGGGACCCAACCATCAGCCAGGCGCTACACATACACTACTGATCGTCAACCCCTGGATATTGTAGGTGATAATTTAGGACCTGACCTCTCCGTTCCCTTGCCAGGCTTTGCCCATTCCCAGGATCTTCTAGAGCTTCCTTCCTTTCCGCTTCTTCCCCTGCTGGGTAATTTCCTACTATGCAGTACACATAGTTCTCGCGTTCGGCTATTGCTCTTACACCTGATGGTCCCGATCGGCTGATTGGTCCTCCTTTTCAAACGAAGGGTTTCTAAACGGAAAGGCTCGGATGGGAAGTGGGACGCTGGGGGACGTTACGACTCCATTGAACCTTTGGATGTCACTTGAAGTGTCCCTCTAGACTCTAGACCTAGACCCTCCTTGATGACAGCCCTCTCAGCCCAGCTAAGGGTTGGCAGAGACAGCTAGGCACAGTCTGGTGGTTACACGCCTACATACACTACACAGTACTCGCCTCATCAAGAGAGGTGATTGATGTTCGAAATTGGACCGATAACTTACAGGACGCCACGCCGGTGGTGTAGGTATGTCGGTACGATCAGTTTCTTTTCTCAGCTTAGAAGGTTGCAGCCCCCCCCCCCTCCTTTCCTTGGCAGCCTATCAAAACTTCCAAAGGGCAAATCACCGTTCAAAAGTTGAACGAACCCGGTGAAGGCAAAGGATAGGGGACCCGAGATAGGGGGACCCGACGTCTTGACGCCCTGTTGATGAGACCGAGACGAACGACGGGATAGGAAACACTGTTAGCATGCAACCGTTTCATGATGGGGGGGCAAGATGGGAGAGAGACAGAAGAGGATGAACCCACCTGCCCACAGCCCACCACCACCACAGATCGTTCCCAGGAAAAGCAAAGACCTTCTTCCCTTCAGGGGATATCCTGCTCACGGCATGTTGAGGGGGGACTGGGGTGGTGATGGCTTGAAATGGGGACGTTCTGCTGTTCCTGGATGATCAGTGGGGCTTGAACGACTCCTCCTCGACCCCGAGACCGTTTTGTTTTCTGGCTCTTGTTCTCTCTTTTTTTTTTCCAAGCTTGTCTGGAACTGTCACTCATTCATCAGCTTCTTTTGACTCTTCACCAGTGTCTTGCGGGTTGGGAATCGTCTTTGCAGGTTGTTGCTTCGTTGTTGCTTTGTTGTTGCTTTTCGACACACTCTCTCTGTTGTCGTGGACGAGGCGCAGGATCATCGCTCAAGCATCAGACTATCAGACACTCTTTGGCGGTAGGATAAACTAATTGGTAGGTCCACGTTTCATATTTCGAGCATGAATATCTTGAACATCATGAAACTTCGGGAGTTAGTTACGATCAGAGTTGGCAGGCAACGGTTCCCTCGCTTCTTTGCTGTTTAGATATGCAGTTCATCCACTCTTGCATCATCACGCAACTATATCCTCAGCTTTCTGCTGTTCGGTGGGCTATGCTCAATGCTCCTCTACTCTTTTTGCCATTTTCAAAAAAAGAATAAGAATCCACTGCTAACAGCGAATATTGCAGTTACTCTTGCCTCTGACTTTCGTTATTAGAGACTCACCAATGCCCCTTCCCGTCGTGTCGACAAAAGGGATCTGAGTCGACTAAGGTGATACTACCAACTTACCTACTGTCACTACCAACATACGACTATCGATAACACAACGATGCTCCGCCATCAAATAAACCCATTATCATGGGCCGACACGTTTCTCCGGGCTCTCATCCCGAGTTTCATAGCCGACGCCATCTTCTCCGACCATAGGAAAGCAACCCGATTACACCCAACTTCGTACCTCGATGGCCTGCGTGGAATAGCCTCCGTGCTCGTCTTCTTCTGCCACTACACCGAAGACAACTACCGCTCTCTAACACGCTCCTACGGCGTCGGCGACAAGGACCGCCCGGAAACGGCCACGACAGGATGGATCCAGCTGCCCTTTTTACGCATCATCTTCTCGGGCCGGCCAATGGTGCATATCTTCTTCGTCATCTCCGGCTTCGTTCTCTCCTATAAACCCATCAAATCCATCCACGCCCGCGACCTCGACAAGTGCTACACGGCGCTCTCATCGTCCACCTTCCGCCGAGCTTTTAGGTTGTTTGGCCCCTGCGTGGCCTCAGCCTTCATGATCATGTGTCTGCAGCAGCTGGACCTCTACCCGGGAAGAAACCCGCGCGACACGTGGGCCGAGCAGCTGATGGCCTGGAAGCGCGTCGTCTTCACGCAGATCACCTGGCCGTGGGCCTGGGACAAGGACATGATGCCCGGGTACGACATCCACCTGTGGACGATCCCGATCGAGTTTGCCCACTCGATGCTGCTGTTTATGGTGATCCTCATGCTGGCGCGCACCAAGCTGCGCATCAGGCAGATGGCGGTCCTCGGGTTGATGGGGTACTGCCTCAGCTGCGGCAAGTGGGCCGGGTTTGAGTTCCTGGCCGGCTTGTTCCTCGCCGAGGTGCATGTGCTCAAGAGCGCGAGGGAGCAGCAAAGCAAGGAGTGGGAGAGCGTGGCGCAGGAGGAGGAGGATGATGATTTGAACAAGTATGGTCATCGGGAGGTTAGGCAGGGAGGCGGTTTCGTCAGCCTGTCCACGCTGAAGACCATCTTTTGTATCGGGCTGGTTATCCTGGGACTGTTTGTTGGCGGTTGGCCTAACCACGAGGCGGACAAGACGCCGGGGATTAGGTGGTTCCTTGCAAAGACGCCGATGCCGTTCGCAAAAATGGACCATCTCGCCCCGCAAAAGTTCTGGTTCGGTCTTTGCGCCGTAGGAACCGTCTGGGCTGTCGGAGAACTTCCGCTCCTCATACGGCTTTTCGAGGGTTCGCTGGCGCAGTACTGTGGACGCATCAGCTATGCGATCTACATCTGCCACGGACCGGTGCTAGGGCTCTTCCAGAACTACGTTATGGGCAGCCAGTTCGTGCCTGCTCAGGGCGAACTTGGAAAGGATGGTTACAAAGTGGCTGTTGAGGCGCACGGGATCAAGGGGATGACGGGCATGGAGAATACGACGCAAAAGACGACGGGCTGGTTCTTGGGATTGTGCGTGCTTGGGCCCGTTGTCGTGTGGGCGGCTGATGTCTTCATGAGAGCGATTGATGAGCCTATTGTTCGGATAGCAAGGAAGATGGAAAACGTGTGTTTGGACAGGGAAGCTCAGCCAGAACAGCGACCGGGTGGGAGACGGCTGGAGCCGGGATATTCGGCGGCCGCATGAAGTGTTGGATGTTTTTGTATAGCCATGTTTTGAGCATGCTTTCCGTAGGTCGGAGCGGTCTTTGGAAGGCGTCGTTGATGGTGTAGATGGCGTTCCGGTGATATTCCGAGATTTTGGGTGCAGGCAGGGTCCTCCACCCTGAGAACATTGATATGGGATATTTCGTGATTAATATGAATATGATTACTTTCACCTATCTATTGCTTGGTGATCATTATTCCATACCCGTCTGTTGCCTGACGGTAATGGTTAAACAGGGGCCCCTATGCATGTTGGTTGTGATGACTCAACTTTTTCCGGCTTACTAGGAGACAGTCACCAAGTCTGACTCTTCGAATAATTGGCGAACTGCGCAAGAAGTGGCTTGAAGTGGTGTACAAGATCATGTGAACAATGATCCTCTGTCCAACGCCCAAATGTTCACGGAAGAGTTGTAGAGGTGATTGGCTCCCCGTATTACCTATCTCTACCAACCCCGCCAAGGCTTACGGGTACAACACCATTTTCTATTTCCTTGTTCCCTCTTGAAGGCTGCTTAGTTATACGAACCTCATCCCGGATTATTCTGTTAATGAGACTTAAGTCAACAGTGAGGACTCATCCTAACAACTTACGCCCTCCGTACGACGAGTTCGAGCCTGAGGTTCTCCGAGAGTCATCTATCATGGATGCAAGCTGCCAGTGTGGTGCCGTGACCTTCAAGACGCCTCTCCGGCACCCTCTCACCCTTTATATATGTCATTGCGCCGAATGTCGGCGGCAGACGAGCTCGGCCTTTGGGGCATCGGCCATCTTTCCTCGGTTTCCGTTGCCCAGCAAGGCACTTCTGAGCTGCTACAAGTACGTGATAAGTCACACTGGTTGCGGGAGCATAAATGATTTTGTCATACTAACTCTCTGTTTTGGTCTGAAGGAGACCAAACCCCAATGGTGAATTCCTAGAATGGTATGTGTTTCCATTCATCCTCGTTCAGCATCTATCGTCGAGGGGAAATCAACGGACTATTACTAACAGCATCATAGTTATTTCTGCAAGCAATGCGGGACTCGTCTTATTCATTCCACGGCCGTAAGTGCCATCGCAAAAGACAGACGAGACGACAGAGTTGTGTTGGATGATCGGATACTGACATGACCTAATTCGGCAAAACAAGGGTAAGAACTTCGTCTCTGTCAAAGGTGGATGCATCGAGGGACTGGACTGGTCGAAAGCAATTCACATCTGGACCAAGAGCGCCATGGTGCCCATCCCGGAAAACGCAACAAGCACGAATGAGGAATGCTCGGAGTTTGATGCGTTCAGCTCGTCACAGGAAGCACTGGATCAGCCAGATCATATCGTATGTGGGAGCACGGGAGAAAGGTTCTCAAGCACGTACAATCGGTGATGCAGAGAATTTTGGAAGACTGTAATGGTAAACGTAGAAGTAATATGAGTGAGCGGTTGAGATTAGGAAAATGTTCATGGGAACAGAAGAAGTGGAAAATAACGTCTTGTGGACGAACAGACTTAAAAGTCGGGAACGAGCATTGAGGTGCGGGAGTTCAGCGACTGTGTACTTCTACTATGATTCCATGATGTGAACATCCAAGTTTCGAGAAGCCGCGAAAAGAAAATCAAAAAGGACAAAAACGAAAGAACAAAACAAGGAAGAGCATAATAAAGATAGACTGGCAAAGAACCAAAAGAACGGGAAAAAAAAGTAACTGGGAGGTTTGAGGACTGAACGCGATTTGAACGCGTGACCGTTCGGACTGCAGCCGAACGCTCTACCCCTGAGCTACCGGTCCAATTCCTAGTTATTATACCCTCCATAAATATTTGGATATATGGTTACTTGACGCGTCTACAGCCCTTGCCAGGAAAAACCAATCGTCTCTCTTTCCGACCATCCCACCTTCCTCATTCGCGCTCACTTCACTTGTTCAATTTTCATCGCTCGCAATCACCAACCCCCGACGACAGTATTTCGGCGGCTTTACATCCGCTGGACAATGCTTGCATCCTTGTGTCTCTTTGTCCATCTCGACAACTAAGGACCTTGACTCCTTGAGCACCAGCTGATATGTTTTGCGTCTCTTGGTAGTGTCATCGCATATTCTTTTCAGTTCATATTGAAACAGCCAACTCGCGGCAATCCCATGAGTCGCGCTCTTCTTGGCTGTATTTCCCGCCGTCCCCTCATCACGGCGCTTTACCGCCGTGACAACCACACATCGGAGAAACCACATGGAAGACATGATGTTTCTTCCACAACTCGATATCGGACGATTTTTACGACTGGGAACCGTCCAAAATGAAGATTACGTGCCCGTCTTCATTGACAAGGGTACCCCGTTACCCTTGGCTGCTCTTGGTCACTGGGTGTTCTTCTGCTTCGAGTTTCGCTTGGACCGATCTCAAACACCAGCCGTCAGGAGTCGGTCTCATCCGCACCCCCTTCGTCACCCCACATCAGCCTCAACCACAGAGATTCACGACTGTCGGGATGTTTTCAACCACAATTCATACAGGAAATCCCTGTAATGGTCAGACCAAGAATCTCTTGACGGCCTTGATGCCTACAATCTGTATCCCTTCCTCATATCTCGACTTTTTATCACGGCCATACTTCCCACCCCTGGCGCTTCTTGGAGCAGTTCGTTCAAGCCAAAAACCCCTTGCCTCGTAATTCTATGCCTCAACCATGGTATAGTAGCATCGTGAAAAGATGAAAGAAATGCCTGCTCCCCCGGTGCCCGTTGCCCTCTCTGTCCCTTGGAACATCCCATCTTGTCCAGATTTGCCTTCCACGATGCAATGACCTTCCGCACCTGACGTTCATTTCTTCGCTTCCCCAAGTGTCTTCACTTCGTTCATTCCTCCACCTTTGGTACAGGCTGATCCTGTCTTGTTCTCTTTACCCCGTGTCTTCAACTTGTCCTTCTTTTGGGTTGTTTTCACTTCCTGTCAGTTCCCTACGCCATCCGACTTTCGAGGCAAAAGGGACGTGCAGTTTCTTGTGTTTTCTTGATCAACGACCGACTCGACAAGTAGCGGGATTGCCATCTAAGGCTTCTCGCCACACCTTATTAACGTCGCTCGCTTCACCTACCTCACGCTATCAACAGAACTCTTGAAGAGTATCTTGACAAGTCCGGTCGTTACCTACACATAGCCTTATTACTACCACCATCCATGTCGGGTTGATCCCACGTCGACACTTACCTATCCAACGGCTGGCCTGTTGTTATAATTTTCGAACATTCTCGACTTTGAACGTCACGCTATTTTGGAAAGGGGATCGGCCGCCAAAGAAGGACTTAGACGCCCGTTGGCGTATACACAGACATCACAATGAGCAAAAGATATGTGCGACTATTGGTACTGATCTTGAGCTACCTGTCTCTCGTACAGGTAGGAACCAACTTTTTGAAGGCATGAACCAATTTTGGAGAAAAGCTAACATGAAAATGCTTAGGCTGCCGCATATGATAAGCATGGAATCACAGGACGAAGGGTAGCGAGGACCGGGAACAGACAGAAAGGGCACAAAGGGCAAAAAGGACAGGCCGAGGGGCAATTGCAAGGATCGGTTCTGATAGTCACCGAGACTGTCAAAGAGACGGTAACGGCGGGCAGTGGCGCTGGTGTCGATGGAACGATCGCAGCTGAGACCGTAACAGAGACAGTCACTGTGACCCAAAAGGAAAATGCTGGGGCTCTACCTGGGTAAGAAACACCATCCCGGAAAGTATGTTGACGACACCGCTAACTCAGCCCAAGCACTGGAAACGTACAGCTCTCGTTCGTAACGACAACAATTTTCGGCACCGGCTCACCCTCGACCGTCACCATCACAGCTCTCCCCGAGACCATTACCCAAACAATAGCCGCCACCGTCACCCAGACGGTAGCCTCCACGCTCACCGAGACGATAGCCCAAACCATCACCAGCTTGCAGGTCGTAGCCTCGACCGAGACCGTCACCCAGATTCAGTCAGTAACGGAAGCATGCTCCTCGAGCCAAGAAGTGCCAGGCGTGGTTGCGGGAGCGCCCGCCGGAACAGCTGCCCCTGCCAGTGATGACAACAACGGATTACCACACGCGAGCGGTGGAGTGGGAGTAACGACGGTTTCGATCCCGGCTGCTTTGCGCACTTCGACCTTGGAAGTGCCGCCGCCCCCAGCTGCTACGGCCTCGGTACCCTTGGCCGAAAGCTCTTTGACGACCTCAGAAGTAGTAGCTAGCAGCACTTCCGCTGCTGCGGAGCTCTCTTCCACTTCAACCAGCGCTGCGGAGGATACCACCACGTCTACCACCGAACTGGCCATGTCCACAACCGAACTCAGCTCCACTACCGAGCTCGCCACATCTTCCACGGAACTCCTCACATCCTCAGTTAAAATCACCAGCAGCACCGCCCCCGCGGTGGCCATCACCTCCGTAGTCTCTGTCGAAGCCCCATCCTCGACCTCGGTCGCCGTCCCAGCAGGAGCCGAGCCGACTTCAGTCCTCGTTCTCCCGGCCGTTTCGGCAGCCAACCCGACGACCACCGCAGTAGCGCCAGATGTTGCGAACGGAGGCATCCAGTTCACGCTTGATGTGTCGGGACTGAGTCTGACGAATGTGTTGGATTTGGGGAACTTAGTACCGCCTACGGCTGCGGCGCGGCCATGAGCGAGAGCCAGAGCAGAGCGGAGCAGAGCAAAAGGAGATGAGATGAGTGGGAAAGGGGAAAGGGGAAGGAAGGAAGGATGATGATTGAATCATGGAAGACTATGAAACTGCCAGTCCAGTCAAAAAATACTGTCCCGCCTCTTGGTGTTTTCCCCGTTCGGCTGGGAGAAGGGATGGCATTTTCTTTTTTGCTGTCAGCGTGTGGTATTATGAGTTTTGTCTTGGTTTCTTTT